TCTCTCTCTCTCTCTCACACACACACACACACTAACACACATACACACACAGACACAAACACACGAACGCACCACGCGCGCGCGCGCACACACATGTGCGTGCAGATAAGTTCTTTGGTGCTTAGATTCGCGACAAGGTTGGGATTGGGGGTTGGATTGGAAGGAAGTCAAAGAAAAGAGGAACACAATAATTTATGTTGTTTTTATACTCACCAATAAAAAAGCCGCGTTAACGAGGAGCTTCAATAATATTAACTCTATCCGTACGTCGTGTTATACTTTCGTATCCATATGACTTGGGGAACTCTGTGCTACCACTTTCCAAAGAGGAAATTTACTCGTATATCCGATCCGTACGCTTTGCATAGCAGTAGCAGTCTGTCAAAAAGATTTTTTGACAAATACTGAACGTTTCAAAGAGATCTTCGTACTAGAAGTAGACCTATTCTAAAACGTGAAGAATACAACCCCGGGTGTACAAAATTACCCCAGTGCGTACGGATAGGGTTACGGTACGTCTTTCTACTTCTCTACAGCATGGGAACAGCGTTTTTACAAAACGAAGTCGGCAAGATCCTGGGTGAGTGCCTGGCAGAGGTGTGCGAAACTCGACCGGGGGACCCTATAGAGTTCATCGCCCATTGGCTGTACCGGCACAAGGACAGCGTGATGTACTTCCAGCAGAAGTCTGACGTCATGCGCGAGCTAGCGGAAATGGCCGCCCGTGTGGAGGAGGAGCGCAGGATGAGAAGGGAGCGATGTGATCAGCTCCGCAAACAAGTCCATGATGCGGCGGTAAGAGCCCACATTCCCCGATCGTAAATGGTCGCTTTTGATTAAATACACAACAGTACGCAAATACAGAACAGTTTACAACCATGCCACTGTCGGTCATCACTATGCAGGGCCCTGTATTTTGAGCTAGGGTTGTCGTGTCTTGCTCAAGGACACACCCCAGTGACCACCAGTCTGATCCCCGTCGAGGTTTCCAGAAATCTTGACCTACACCAAAAGTGGACATTGCCCGACCTATATAGGAGAAGTTTGATTTCATTGGTGTGAATATTTGTTTGGTCATAGAATAGAGAAAACTCTCCTTGTCTTTTAAAGAAACTGAACAAGGGTCCAAAAATGGTACCTTCGATTTTCTCAAAACAGCATTTTCAGGATAGCCCCCTTATGCTTACAAGCGACCATATATACATGTATCATACCCAGGGGGCTCTTGTGGTCTTGAAGTTAAGGTGTTCGCCTCTCATTCAATAGGTCCCGGGTTCGAATCTGGATAGCGACGGAAAATGTCCTGCTCTAAAATGGTAAAGTTTTGCTCAGTTTCTTTAAAAGACAAGGAGAGTTTTCTCTATAACCAAACAAATATTTCCACTCCTTAGACCTCGAGTAGATTGGTCTTATAGATGTAACTCTATAGAATGACCAAACACAAAAAGAGAATAGACATCTGCTTTCCTCTTGAAAAAAAATGGTGATCTGAAGATATAGCCTCAGATTATATGGATTGATTCTCTCTCTCTCTCTCTCTCTCTCACACACACACACACACACAATCACATATTCTATGTTGTAGTATATATATATATATATAAATATATTATATAATAGATAGATAGATAGACAGATAGAGATCTAGTACAGTACAACTCTTGACTTGCGCGTGAATTTGTTTATAATAGTGAGGGAGAGGTGGGCAAATCATCTGCCTCACTCTCTTGTCCTGACCCATTCTATCAAGAAACCTACATTTATGCATCTAGTGATACTTGTAGTACATCGTGAATACAATACTACATCATGTACATTGTGGTTGGGTTTCTTTTTCAAAACCTTTATATCTTTTGTTCTCCCCAGAGAAAGCTGCGTAGTGAGTGCCTTCCTTCATCGATGCTGTTTGGCCCCGATCTCTTTCAACAATACGGCTCAAGACTAGCACCGCACCTCCAACAACAGTTCTTCAACAGGAAGGGGAAGGCAATACCAGCAGCCATGAGGAGATACATGTATATGGACGGCGGCCCTGCTGGTATGATGGGGTATAAAGACGGTGCTGTTCCAATGAAGTATATGAACAGCCGTGCTGGCATGAAGCAGAAATATTATGGCCATGCACGAGCACCTTATGCAGATGGCACTATGTCTGATAGTGATATGCCCTATTGTCTGACGGGAGACAACCCGTCTTCGTACTCACCAGGAATGTTCGGACGTCTCTCTCGCCGGGAAAAACGCTTACTGAAGGCGGCACAGCTGCAGAGAGAATACATGGCCGAATGGGAGGTGACGGAAGAGTCGTGTCAACTTGTCTGTCAACATCCTCTACTGGGTCCACTCACTCGCCGGATTTGTAACGCTGATGAGATGTCAGGTGAGAAAGTATTCAATGGGTGGCTGTCCCCGTCGTTTTATGCAAGAAAAATTCTGAAATTAAGCAAACTGAGCCCAAAAAATGTGAAAGTATGCGATTCTGTTAATTTTAATAAAGAATGGTAAAGGAAAATAATCAGAAATTATGCGAAAAATGATCAAATTTTGCTAAATTATGCGGAGTGCATAAAACCACGGGGGCAGGTGGGCGGTTGGCGGGTGGTCTGGTGTCGTTTGCTCCTTCTTTCCTATACTATCAAACAACTATCATCTTTATCTCTCTCCTTCTCCTTTATATGTTTGTTACTCTCTTGTAACACCTCTAATCTTCAGCACTTATATGACCTTATTGTGTTGCAAGGGCCGTAACACTCTTACTAAAACTGAGGAAGTAATCAGTCATCCGTTGTCTTAGATTCTTAACAGTTAGAACTGATTTTTTTTTTTGGTAAGTGTTTTAAGGCGCTCGCAACTGCCTTAGGTCATATGAGCGCGTGGGACACACCAGACATTTTCAGTAGGTAGGAAATTTTGAATTTTGCCCGAGTGGCGGAATCCTACTCTTAAATTGATTTTATACCACCAAGGGATCTTTAACGTACGCAACTTGCACACTGAACCTCTGAGATTTTTCGCCCTTGTCCGAGAAGGGTAAGTGTAGATCTTTCCTACCAGAAGATTAGGGGTGTGGCTAAAAGACAGCAGTAAGAAGGAGCCAAGGAGTAGCAGTAGAAAGACTGCAGAAAAAGTCAGGAGCCCAGAGAAAGGGGCAAAGGAGGTGAGGGAGTGGGGGCAGAAAGAGAAAACGAAAGCAAACGACAGAACATGGCTAGAGAGCAGGAAAGGAGGTGAAAGGAGACAATTTTAGAGACGAAAATATTTCAGTGGCTTACCGGATTCGAACCCAGGACCTTTGAATGAGAGGCCAACACCTTAACCTATAGGCCACGAGAGCCCCTGATGTATTTTACTGTTAAATATCGATCAAACGCACACACCCCCCCTCCCACCTGTAAATTTGCAGTTCCCAAGGACACTCAGTCTTTGGGCGTCACCAATCTTCTGAGGTCATTTTCTCGCTAATCTTACCTCTGCACTCTGTCACAAAGCAACCCTCACCTGCTTTAATCGCAAACATCCCGACTTCTATTCGAGACAGATGGGCGCTTTTTTTTCCACAAAAAGCAAGACACATAAACAAGCTTTAACCCTATCTGTACGTCGTGTTTTACTATCGTATCCATACGACATGGGGAACTCTGTGCCACCACTTTCCAAAGAGGAAATTTACTCGTTAATCCGATCCGTACGTTTTGCAAAGAAGTCTGTCAAAATGATTTTTCGAGGAATACTGAAAGTATCAAAGAGACCTTCGCACTAGAAGTATTCTATAATGTGAAGAATACAACCCCGGGGATACAAAATGACCCCAGGGCATACGGATAGGGTTAAGATTAAAGCAATAACGACGACATATGCCCCAAAAATTGACGAGCAACTGATTTCACCACGCCATGACCCATTTCAATTCCACATGCTTACATATTGCCAATATCTCTCCTATTACAGAGAACCCAGACGTGTGGCACAGCAAAGACTTCAAGTGCCCGACATTTTATGACCATGAGATTTACACCAGATGCAACACAGACTCGGACAGTCTTCTGTGGATATTGTGACATCTACATCAGACTTATATATTTATAATTCAAGTTATTTTCTAGTTTTATTCCATCTACCATCACTACTACTGAAAACCAATCATACTTATATTCTATTACCATGGTTTTTGAGACAAACATCCATCTCCCTGCCTGAACAAACGTGTTTACAGCCACTGAAAACCATCACATCATTGACTTTGTAATCGATCCAGATGACATCATTGAGTACATAAGTAACAACTTCAGCTCACTCATGACATTACTTGAGCAAAAGTTGTGTCGACAAGACAAACAGGACTTGAAAAATTACCTCGTTCATCAGGGAAAACATCAAGATATGCTCCTGAATGCCAGAAGATTATCATCATTTTTGACATTCCAAGGAACGCAATAAATACACTATTCATGTTTCCATATTGTACAGTTTGTGTACATGTATTCAATTAACTGACTGCTACATCAACATTGGTCTTTATACATCCATGTACTTGATTAATTCCTCAATAAATAAAAAATGAACAATAACAGCATCAGAGTCCAGTTTCTTGTTTAAAGCAACTGGCCCGAAGATTAAGAACTTTCTTTTTCTAGATTTTTGTTCTTAGTTGCACCCCCCACCCCACACAGTGACACCACCCATACACAGAACATGTGCTTACTGTCCTCCCAATCCGGGCATATATGCTCAGACATGTGTCTTACAAGCGTGTCCAGGTTAAATATGTCGGTGTGAGAGAAGATCTCTGATTGGTCCCACGAGACGAATGTGTACAGTGGAAACCTGATATAACAGGGATGGTGGGACCAGAGAAAAAGTCATGTTATATCAGATCCCTGTTAAATCAGAAACGCAAGGGAAGTAAGTATTTGTGGACTAATCCAGCTGTATTTATTCAAGGCTTGTGCATGACACATTACGCGTGTGTGTAGCTAGGCTTTGGGCTAGATCGAAATCTGCAGCACACCGGAGCCCTCTCTCACTTCACCCGCTGCGTGTGCTAGCAGTGGCATGGCTTGCGTGGGCTTACTCCACCACTGCATTACTCTCTCTCTCTTACTTTTTACACATTGTTAACGAGCCTTTGTCCCTGTTATAACCAATTGGGCTCCGATGAGGCCCTGTTATTGCCGATTACTTTTAATAGAGACAAAGAGTAGCAAAAAACGGGGATTTAAAAAATCCGTTATTACCAGTTCCATGTTATATATGGTTTCCACTGTATCTCAGCAGTGACAGGACAGCTCACTCGTAGTGAGCAGCGTATTATACTCAACAGCCCAAGCGTGCAGTGATCCTACAGCACCATTACAACAAAATCCACGGTTAACAATCACATCACACTGATGTCTGAGTGAGCGAAAATCTCAGCTGTCAACAGCAAGGGTCCATTCATCATCATCATTGCCTTTTTCACCCTGGATCAGAATATAGGCCACGAGCAAACAGTTTCCACTTTTCCCTATCCTGGGCTAGTCGCTTGATGTCACTCCATTTCCTTCCACTTTTCATCATCTTTATTCCTTAGTTGCTCTGTTCTTTGTTTTTCCCCTGCACTACATTTCCTTCGGTCTATTCAACTGTCCTTGTCGTTTTATGCAAGAAAAATTCTGAAATTATGCAAACTGAGCCCAAAAATGTGAAATTATGCGAATCTGTTAATTTTAACAAAGAATGATAAAAGAAAATAAACAGAAATTATGCAAAAGCAAAAAATGATCACATTTTGCTAAATTATGTGGGGTGCATAAAACCACGGGGACAGATCCAACTCCATGAAACATACAGGGAGCGAACGATGAGCCTGCAAGATGGTGCTCCCACCAGCTGCCGCCGAGGGATGTCAGTCTACCAACAGACAAACCAAGACGACAGCTGCAAAATGCGTCGACCCACCTGGAACACCAGGACCTCAACAACCCGCTCATTGGGGGAAAATCGCCCAAGCTGAGATCATATCTCCACAAAATTGCGCCAGCAGACAATCCAGATCCGTCCTGTCAAGCCTGCAAGGAGGAGGAGGAGACTATGGACCATATGTTCCTGAGATGTCTCGCCAACGATCGTGCCAGAATTCGTCTGCTGGGACATTTCAGTAACCCATTTTCAGCACTTGTCAAGGACCCCCGAGCGACTGTTGAGTTCCTGCGTGCTGTCGGCATCGCTGATCGTTTATGACGCCACAGCGCCAGAAGAGTGAGAGACAGATGAAAGATACATAGGGAGAAAGAGTGTACTGGCTGAGGCAACCATGGACGTATAAAATGAAAAATGAAACAACACACAATCGTATACATATATATAAAAAAATTGTCGTATATTTTGTTTTAGTAAAGCTGGCAAAACATAAACATAATACTAATCATCAAAAAGTGAGGCGCTGTCGTTACTCTCAACCTCCTCCCTGTCGCTAGAACTGTCTCTTCTACGTTTCCTCGAGGGAGGGTTTATCAACGCCTCCTGAACCTTGATAACTTGTTGGTCCAGGGTACACAGGAAGTCAGTTTTGGGGCCCCCGCCGGGGTAGATCACATCACAACACAGCTGCAGCAGCCAGATGTAAGCGCGAGGTCTTGACCGCATCAAGGCTTGGTCAGAGGTCACCGGGTGAAAGAATGGCATCTGGACGGGACAGTGGGTCTGACGCTGCAATAAGTCCTCCAGCTGGTCAGTATCTGATGGTGCTGAAACAACGAGTTTGGAAAAAAAATTTATATATTGGTATTTTAAAAGTTTTATTAAGTGTTTTACGACACTTGCAACACAATAAGGTCATATGAGTGCCGAAGATTAGAGGTTTTACAAGAGAGTAACAAACACAAAAAAGAAAGAGGGGAGATGAAGATGAAAGAAGTTTGATACGAAAATAGGAAAGAAGAAGGAAACCACACCAGAGCACCCGCCAACCACCCACGGCTCCGGGTATCAAAATTGTCATTACCTCAAGAGCAGAATAATGAAGTCCGCATCAATCTCTATCACCATAACAAAGCAAACATTTCAGGTTGGTCTAATACTAGCAGATCAAAACAAGAAAGGTACGTGACCTTGAGAACAAACCCTCGCACTTTAAGCTCAAAGTGCAGACCGAGGAGATTTTCATTCAAATATAGTAGAACCTGCTCTAACCAGAACCTGTTCGTCTTTCAGCCACACCCTTGATCTTTTGGTAGGGAAGATCTACACCTAGCCTTCTCGGAAAATGACGAAAAATCTCGGAGGGCCCGTGTGCAAGTTGTGCACGTTAAAGATCCCTTGGTAGTCTAAAATCTATAAGAGTAGGCTTCAGCCGCCACCCGCGCAAAATTCAAAATTTTCTACCAACTGAAAATGTTAGGTGTGTCCCCGCGCACTCATATGACCTTATGCAGTTACAAGCGCCGTAAAACACCAACACCC